ACAGTGTCACACCGTGACGGTTTTTCTGATTTTTCTTTGATTAATACAGATTAATTAGAATAGTTTCGAACTTGACAAGCTATCACATCTTGTAGAGCAAACAATTTTCTACAAACTGGTATACTTGTCCAATTTTCGCCTGTTCGTCTTCAGACACGTTTTTCAGATAGCTCCAAAATCGATTTTTGGGGCTGTTTGTACGACAGTTGTATTTTCATAACTAATCAATATTCAGAGCCAAGACACTTTTCATTTTGTAGAGAAATGTTTAATGTACTTAATTATGTAGTTGCAATTTTAGATTAGCTTGTAGCTTTACTGCAATAATCTTTTGAAAAAGAGCGAAAAAAGGATACTGTTAGCTGGACAAGCCGCAATGATATATTGAATAATGCTCAATCAAGTTTATAGTATTGTGTACGGAATTTTAAGAGGATATGGACAATAAAGAGCTACAGTCATTTTCTGGAAGCGTTTCACGGAGTGAGTCTGAAAAGCAAAAAGAGGTAGCTGAAGTGTGCATCGTGAAAACACTGATGCATCTCAAACTCTTTTGGAACTTGGAACATTCAGTCTTAGATTTTAAATAATGTAAAAGGAGCACACTTTCTTAATGCATCAAGAAGCAAGATTGAAAGACTTAGTTGAAGAAAATACTAAGAATCATCCTACTTTAAACACACAGGATTCGGTAACTGGTTTAAATTACATATCAAACAGTTATTTGTACGTTATTCTGTTATCGTAAATTAAATTAAAAATTTGAATTTCTGATTATGACCCGTGAGACAATTTATATCAATAACAGTAATAATATAGACAATAGGTCTGATTAGCAATTAGCCTCTGATATTCTACCACTAGAATTATTAAAATTAACATGTTTAAGTATTAGTATATGAAAATGCAGTTGAACTGAAACAAACTGTTTTGGTACCTATTTTCTAAAACATTATAGAATAACTATGATGCAAAATCGTCCCTGAGAAAATCACAACTCAAAAGAGCAATTATCCTCTATTCATACATAGCAAAGATTAATACATTGGGCGGATGCGGTGTTCGTAAAGTTTATTCTATAAAAGAGTTTAGATAAAAATAATCATACTGTCTGCCTATTCAATCAGATAAAATTAAGCATTTTATTTAGTCTCTTAGAGTCTTTCATTCGATGATTTTGTTAACACGTTTTAAATTATCAATGGACGGATGATTTGAAAGGGACTAAAAAAATTGTATAACAGTTCTAAATGTATATTTGTTTTGTTTTAGCGTCACTTATTGTGTCTATTTTTCTATCATTAATTGTACTATAGTGGTAAAGAAGAGCTTCAACAGATAATGAATATTTGATCAAAATCAATTTCATTGTTAACCATGCGATTTAATAAATGTACCGCAACAGATCAACAAAAACAAGAGGAAAATATCTTTAAAAAATTCGATTTTGATATTACGAATGATTCCGTTGTTGATAGTAATAATAAACAAATTTTAATTGATGCCTGTGAAACGACATCAAAAATTATTGATGAAAAAATTCAAGAATTAAAACAACAAACCGGACTTCTATGTCGTGTATTTCGTCGTGAAAGTGCGAATAAAAAAAATCATATTAATCCAAAAACAGCATTACCAAATGATTATCAAACAATGCCACCATTATCAATAGAAATGAATTCGAATTTAGATATAAAATCACCAAAATTATCTTCAACAGAATATACATATACAGAGAGGGTAAAAACATCGGGTAGTGGAAAAGAAATTTTAGAAGAAAAATGTTTATTAAAACGCTCAAGTTGGAATAATGATGAGACATCAAAAATATTTCTACCACCAACAGGAAATTCAAAACGATATAAACCAAAATTGATGATGACTACCAATAATAGACATCATGATTATCATAAACAACAAGAAACTCGGCCAACACGATCACGTAGTTGGTATGAGGAAACATTTGAACGTCCATCAATGATTACTGCAAGTAAAAAGAAGAATTACTCAGTCATAGTATGTATCGTCAAAGATAATTAACTCATTTAACAATATTAAATTTTTTTTTCTTTAGCCAAATTCTAATACAAAAAAAGGTAATCTTTTTCTTATGACACTCGATAAAAATAATGTTCCACATCAATCACCATCTTCGTCATCTATTGATACCTTAAGAAGTTCTTGTTCAACAATTAAAACACGAAATTCATCATTAGACAATAGTGATTTTATCAGTGATTCACCAGATCTGTCATCTTCATCTATTATTACAAATACAAATACCGATTTACGTAATGATACTATTAAACATTTAACAACACGACGTTCATTATCAACATCGAATAGTCATCGTCCAGAACAACGATACATTGATTTACCAAAAAATTTGATTAAATCAACTCATTCTAGACGACAACCATCACAGCAAGAACAATTTGATTTAAAAAGAGATTCATTATTATTGCAACAAAATTCAAATGATTATCATCAAAAACGATCAAGATCATATTACAGTAAGAATGATGATGATGATGGTGGTGGTGGTGAACAGTTTATCATATCAGATCAACAACAAAACAGAAAAGGTCATGAACAACAATCATCATCATCCTTAAATCAATATACTAATAGAATAATGAGTATACCGAAAGTGTTGTCACCGACGTCTAATCACCATCCTCAAACAATAAATTCATCGTCAATGTTGTCTCAAATTTCTTCTCCTCTATCCGATTTAATCGTTGGAGAAAAAAGAAATTTTGTTCCAGGATTAAATACAACACATCAAACAGAATCGTAAGTGAATGTGATTATTGTCTATGCGCACCCGAGAGAAAGAGAGAAAGAGAGAGAAATAATTTAACACCCTAATTGTCTGTGTGTGTGTCAACTGTCAACATTTTTTTTCCATCCATTAAAAGCTTTTTTCTTCATACAATTAAGAATATCAAATAGAAGAAAAAAAATGAATTGAAAAGTGTTTTAATAAAATTAATAATTGATAGTTATGTATTCAACAGATTTAGCTTTTATATAGTAAAGAATTTAATTCAGTCTTTTCCGAGCAGAACTTAAATCTCAAAATTTACTGTCCATCGTTATTTCATTTCTCATTATTGATTTACATTTGTTTGTACATACTTTGGAATATTGAAGAGTCAATTGACATCTATTTTTCAATGACTTGACGAAGAGAGTGATAGGCATTGTTTAAGCTCATTATTGTCTTTAAAACTAGTAGTGTTCAAGAGGTTTTTTTTAATAAAATATCTAAATCAGTGCTTTTTTTTCCAGCACACATCTTAAAGATTTGGTTGACACATCAAAAAGTACAACAATAGCACCACCACTACTATCAAATAAAATAAAACAGTTAACGGGTGATGAATCCATATCCCGAAAAAAAACTGTTCATTTTGATGGTCATTTAACAACAGAAATTCAACCATTGCCTTATTCTTTTCATTCAAAAATATCAGAAAATAAAAAATCATGTCGAAAAATGATTGAAAAATCACCATTATCTCCCGTTCAAACGGTCAAGGATGATGATGACGATGTTTTTGTCGATGTTTTACAATATAAAATTAATCATGATGATGAGAAAGTTTACAAAAATGAAAAGGTATCATCAAATAATATTATTGCAGGACTATCACAACCATCATCATTGAACAATATTGAAAAAACGAACAAATTTTTTGTTTCTTTTTCTTCTCCTTCTCCTTCTTCTTCTTCTTCAACATTAAAACAAAAAGAAAAGAATAATATCATTTTGACAGAAGGAGTCGTTGAAAACGAAATAACGTCGGCCGCCGTATCAACACCACCAATAACGATGACCACTAATAACAGTTCTTTTTTTTCTTCTTCTTCGTTCTTTCCTATTCTTAGTTCAACAACATTATCGTCGACTACACAACAACGACAAAAAGGGAAAGATGTTGATGAACAAAAAAATAATAATGGTAAGTGTATGCATCATCATCAGATTTTACCTTCAATATATATGCTTCTGACATTGGAAAGAGAAAGAGAAAGAGAAAGAGAAAGAGAGGGAGAAAATAAGTAGTTTCGTGTCTCAACCACCACAACAAACAATATTTTCTTTTTGACACCATATTGAAATAATGTTAACAATTCCACGGGTTTTTTTCGTGTTGTATGCTCTCTATTCATTTCAAACATCAGCTGGCTAAAGTATAAAATAGTTATAAACTTTGCTTATTTCATTTTGAAACTGATATGAACTGTAAATAATAGACCTTGTAATTATTCGAACGTCTTTTAGTTGTCAATGATGTTTATCTAAAACGATTTCCATCTTATGATAGTTATGATGTTAATTGTCGATTAAAGTCTAAACATCAGCATTTATTCGATCAAAAAACATCTAACAGCAGCAATAGTTATCGAGAACAACCAAATGATCAAATTAAGTCGTCTTCTATACAAATTCAACAGCCTATTGCACATCATCTTAATGTTAACATGTCGTCTAATAATTTACTATTAAAAAAAAATAGTACTTCTTTGAGTGGTGTTAATATAACAGATATATCATCGCAACAAAAACCATCAATATCCTCTTCTCGATCAAAACGTTTACTCGGTTTACTTGGTTTTCCTATCACTACAACAACGACAAAATATGACACTAGTGGAGTTACCGCCGTCACAACAGATCCAGATAGTGGTGAAAATAGAAAGGACAATGTTGATATGTCGTCATCGAAAAAGAAAAATGGAATTGACATTGATAATAATGAAATACGACAGCAGCAACAGAATAATAACAAGGACAGTAAATTTCATCTTAAACGTACATCGTCGGCACAATTACGTGCACAACGTAATAAAGCAAAAGGAGTAACAAAACGTCTTAGTGCTGATGAGACGATTGTAAATCCTTCAGAAATGGGAAATAATAGTGTAGTGGCAACACAAAATGAAAATAAAAATTTAGTTTCAATGACAATACATTCAAATCAAACAAATGATATGAAAACAAAATTAGTACCATCACAAACGAATGGACAAACCATAACAAATGACAAATCTCATGGAATAGGAAATGGTAAGAAAAATATAACTGCTTCGTAGTATTTTATTGTAAAAGGACAAAAATTATGCGAACAGAATTATTCCCACATATCTGTGCTAAAACAAGGAGCAGTTTTCAGTTCAAACCCATTATCATCCAAGGAACTTTTTTCTTTATTTAATATGTGATCAGTTGGAAAAAATGTGTATTTCGTTTCATCCAAACTCCTCTTTCTTGATTAAATCTACAATTACCAAACAGTATTCTGCGATATAGAAGACGATCAATTCGTGAACACTTTGATAATTGTAACTTGTCCGAGAAACACGAAAACCGGAGTTTTGGAATTTGAATTCAAAACTTTCATCTAATGAATTTGTATTGTTACAAATAGTAAGAGCAGTGAATGTTCATTTAGACAGTTTACCAATTTTTATGATTTTTTCGCTACACGATCTGAATTTTCGCTGTTTTCATATGGAATATATACACAATCTTAAAAATCTGTTCTGTGAACACAAAAAACAGACCGTTAAGTAGAAACTATATCTATGAGAAAGTCCCTTCTCCATCGTTCAGAGCTGTAGTAGTAATTCATCATAGTATTGTATTTATCTGTTGCAAATATTTTTTCTTCTTGAAAATGAACACATATCTAAACTATCTTAACCACATATTTAAATGTGTTCTTTGTCCTTGGAAAGTTTAATGTGACCTCGACACAAGATAAAAGCCTATAATGTCAAACGACGAAGTTTTATCAAATTACATTCTTTCTCAACAGTTAGTTATAGGGTTCAATGGTTAATCACCACTTTTTTTAAGTTCCAGATTGTGGGACGATGGTACCCGTATAATTTCTATCTATTCATTTTGTTATTGTGCACATTGCTAATGACAAGTACTACGTACTTTAAAAAAAAATCAGATTTAATATAAAATGATATGTTTAAAATGACAAGTATATAGTGATAAAAAAGTGAATTTTGTTCTACTTTCTCTGTTTAGAAATGTCAATGTCGTCTCAGAATGGACCCGGTGTAGCAAATGAATTATTCAAGTATCTTAACGATGGTTCTCTAAGTAGTCTCTTATTTCGTCCGGTGGAAGTAGTGGAAGAGCGTGAGAATGGCAACGATATGACGATAATTGATCCAAAGACCGACTATGTATTACATAACAACAATACTGAACCACAAGCTTTTTTTTTGTCATCATTAACTGCTGCATTATTACCTAATTCTACTACTAAAGACATCGAAAAAGTAAGAAATGATGTGTATAATAAACATTCGTTTGATCTAACAACATCTTTATCATCACCGTTGTCCCCGTCTGCGAACATCAATAGAGTTAATCAGGAAGAATCAAATGGTATTGATAGTTTAACTAGTTACAATCATTATTATCTTTATCCTAACATTTACTATCATCAACAACATCTGCCTAATAATAAAACGACAAAAGCAAATACAAACAACCATGCAATCGGTAACGGCAGTATAAACAGTATGAGTACAACCAGCAACAGTTCATCATTGACTAGTAGTACAAATGTTAATCATTTAAACGTTTTCTCAACTAGTCCAATAATAAAGCAACACAACACTAATGATACTATGCATAAAATTGTTGAACAAGGAACAGGAGGGATCAAACAGAATGAAGAACAAGAAAAAGAGGAAAAAGAAAAGGCTGACGATGATGAAGAATCAATGTCAGTAATTCCGATTAAAAAATCTGTTTTGACCTTAAACAACGCACTTACAATTTCAAACTCAACAAATAGTCGACAGAAGAAAGCTGTCAATGCAGCATTAATTGGTTGGAAAATAAAATCATCATCGTTCGACGGACAACAACACGATACACATAATGAATCTAGTATAAAATCACTACCAATCATGTTTAATAATTCCTCACTAAACGAAAATAATGAAAAGGGAAATAAAGGTATGACTATTGAACCGGGCATTGTTCTTTCTGATACCGTTCAAGCATTTTGGCATCCGCCAGTAGCCGCCAATGAGGATGAAAAACACAAAAATGAATTAATTGAACAGTGTTTACCAGAGAATACAAACTATGTAAGTAATTAGTCTTCAAATTGTTTATAATAGTTTAAGGTCTATGGGTTTTGAGAATCAAATATGCTGCTCTATTAGACTTAATTTTTTAACTTTTATCAAGATTATTTGAATGAATATGGTTCTATTTTTATCTGATCTTATGCCTATTATATTGTCCAAAATCTGTTATATTTGTATTTGACTTTTACACTCATTTTTTTCTTTCTCAAAAAGATTTTTTCCTATTATTTCTATACAAACGCACATCTGTGACCCTTCCATTTGACCTTTTTATTGATGACCTGCTTTGTGATTCTCTTTGTATAGACGCGCTCTATGTTCGATATATATATGAGTGAACAGCAGGAGTAAAGTTGTGCTGCTAAGAAAAAGAAGAACAAAAATAAAATAAAATTGTCATATCAAACGTTTTCAAACGTACAAGTGTGGAAACAGTTAAAACTAGAATGAGAGACAGTCACATCGTCAAAGTGTATTTTACGCTAGAATTGTTAGAGACATTCAGAATTGAATGAAAATGGAAAGAGATAGGCAAGCATTAACTGACATTCATCCATCCAATATTCAATCAACTAATTACAGTTCAATTTTTTAAATCGTCTGTTTTACTGTGATCATCTTCTACTCAGACTTAAATTAAAGTAGATTTTAGTATGTGAAATGTTGCTGAATACTATGAATTATAAGTCTCTTTCACATCGTCCTACATGTAATCAACATATGACAAAAATTTTTTTACGTGTTTCCCTTTATTGGAGAGAAAAATAATAGCTATGCTACTGAGTAGATTATAAAGTAGAAAAAGAATAAAGAAAAAAATACTTTTGCCTCATGCCAACCAGTCTTTTCCTTTTTTTGTTCATTTCTTTTTTTTTTCTTTCATCATGGTAAAATTAACTCTTTAGATCAAATCAAGAATATAGAATATGTAACACGTTTTTGTTTTATTATTCTCGTCTGTACGCCCTTTTAGAGTTTTCAACAGAAAAAAAAAATAATAAATCCCATGACTAATACAGTGAAGATTTTGAAAAGTGAGAGATAAAAATGAAACTGGACGCTCTTTTTTTTACCGCTATTGTTACTGAAAATATATTGGTAAGCATAATAGGTTAAAATTAGGGGTATTAATGAAAAAAGAGAAAGATTCTACAAATTATTATTTTTAGAAAGATTTGTTTTAATTAAAAAGAATAAGAGTGAAAAAAGATATAAACATTTCTTTGATAAAAAGTTTTTTGAAAACAAAACACTACTTAGGCAGGACATAGCAATTATCATCTCCATATCGAATGGAGCTCTTATTGTGTAACATTTTAGATTGATTACATCGCGAGAGGATAAACCAAAAATCTTTATTGTCTCCTGAACTAATAAGTAGGATTATATTCTTTACTAGGTTTTTTATTCATCTAAACGTTTGATATTTCAGGTCACTGTAGCGCTCAAAGTATCTCTATTTCGATTGTAGAATACTTTCGTTTGAAAACTGGTTGGTTAGGTGTGTTGAATAAACTAGTCTAGCTTGTTTAAAATGTCTACTTAGGAAAATTTATTCAAATGATGATTCCACTTGAGTATGTTTTTTTTTAATTTTCAAACTTCAACTAAAAATTTCTATTTTTACTTTTTTGTAAGTTTTAATGCTTCCGATCTAAAAAAAATTTTTTATTCTTCTTTCACAAACCTTCAACTTTGAATTCGATTTCTTATATATAAATTCTTTATGTTTAAGCTGAACAGTATTCTAACTTCATTTCATAACCTATACTCTTCATAGCAAGCGAGAAATAGAACATTATTATTGTAGTAACATTTTTGAAGGAAGCTCTCAAGCTATCTTTCTTCCAAACAAATTTTTACTTATATATAACTGCTCTTTCAAATACTAATATCGAATTTATTTTCTTAAAAATTGATAGTGTAAGAAATGTGTCCTAAATCTTATTATAGATATTTTTAACTTGCGTGCATGTCTGTAAGTAGTTGATATATAAACACGATGAAATGGAATGGAAAATCCAGGAGTTATGAATTTTTGGTAAGCAATAATCGTCTAGTTGATGAAACGGTTGATGAAGCTATAAACGTCTGATAAAATGATACTGGTATGCATGAAAATTTACAGATTTATATTTGTTGTTCTCTTTAGAGTAAGGACGACTTGATAGCAACAACATCGTTTGTAAATGAAAATGTGACAACATCTGCTCCATTTCAAACAACCATCATCAGGTATGCACATGTTCTAGTTCTTATAAAGAGATTACATATGTATTACATTGAGAATTTTTGACTTTTTGACAAAAGATTTGTTTGGATACGTGTCACACATCTTTGTTTTTACACTGTAAAAAAAACAACATTATTTTGTTTTCTTTTCTTCGGATATACGCAAAAATGTGAAAAAAGTACAGTATTTTATTCTATTTTTAGTTTAAAGTTCTTGTTTATCACTCACAGAGATTATCCATTTTCATTTTTATTTTTCTTCTTTCTACTATATGAGCCAATCACAATGGATAGACTCTTTCTTTAAGTAATAATCAAATACTTGTGCAGGTAATATAGACTTAATAATGACTAACAATCTTATGTAAGAGAGAACTGGGAAAAAAGAATTTAAAAAACAATAAAACGAGAAAAAAAGTGTGAGTTTTATGTTAGAACGCCTTGTCATCATGAACTGGTAATAATTAGTGTTAAGACGACGTAAAATTGAACATCTGTAACTACACCAAGTGCTTTTTTCAATTTCAAAAAATTTGAAAAACGTGCCTTTTTCATTGTCATACATTCGAATGTAATAGTCATTACATTTTTATTGGATTCCTTTTGAAAAAGTCACAAATCGGTTAGACTCACAAAAAAATTCTTACTAAAATATATTCGTCCAATGCGACTGAAACAGGAGATTATCCTATATCGATAATGTTTTCGTTACATCATTCCTATGTTCTTCTTGTTTAGTTCTTCAGTATCCACCAACAACGTAAACAATGGTTGGTCATCATCTTCTAATGGGTCTCATAATGATTGGACAGATCAAAACAATCATCATTCCAATATAAACCTAACAAATGATAATAGTTTTGATGGCACTGAACATTCATATATAAATATTAATAGCAATGATGATTTTGTTAATAATAATACTAAAACATGTTCAAAATCGAAGGATAATCATCAAGAAGATGGAGATGGACATTCTTGTATGAAATCCCAAACAAAAGAAGCTAGTTTAAACACAGCAACTGTATATGAAAAAAATCGTGTTAATCGTATTGCACAATCGTTTAGTAACGGATATACGGCGAATAATTTTCGAAATGGTTTTGTCATAAATAGATGTAAGTATAATATATATTATTAATTTCCTTAGTTGTCAAATAGTTGGTGCTAACACGGAATAATCTAAATTGAAAAGAAGAGAAAGAGAGAAAGTACACGACTACTATAAATATCATTGTTCATATGTATATACAGTAATTTCTCTTCTTCTTGCATATATTTCCTGATGACAGGTGAAACTTGTCGAAAACTCGAAATAAACCACTAATTGTGATTTTTTAAATAAAATCAAAATGATATTATCGCACTTACCATCGCTATTATTCTTAAAATTACGACTACACAGGGGCATTAATCAGGACGCTCTTGAATACATGCTAAAACAGAAGCTATTTGTCCTATCTTTTTATTCATCTCATCGCTTATTGATACTGCTCTTTCTTTTCCTTTGTTAATTAGAAGCATCACTTTTAATTTTTTATTAATGGTACATAAGTATATATATATATAGGTGTTTGTGCGCATGTAGAAACAAATGATAATTGTTTAGATATGCGGCGAAGGATGTAGAACCACTCGTATATCTTGTTTTTAATAGTTAATAGATTTGATAATAAACTGTGATAAACAAGCACATCGTTTTAAAAGGATTGTGACTATATCTAATCGTTGTTGGTGTTTGTTGTTATTGTCATAAGATAGGAGCACATTAGCGGCACTTCATTTTGTTCGACATGTTGTGAAATTCTCTGTTATCACAATATAGATTAGAATAAGTTCAAATATTTTTTGATTAATGTGTTATTATGCGAACAAAATATTTAGATGAAGAAAGTTCAAATGTTTTGAAACAATATTTATTTCTTATTTCGTCAGTTTATGTTGTTGTTATTATCCTAGATAGTTTAAAGATACGTTTAGTTAAGAATAATACCGCCGTTGTATGCATATATTAGAAGAAGAGAATCTCATATAGAATTGTAATTGTTGAGTTGTCGGAAGCCAATTTATTATGTAATTACGTAATATCGATACTGTGTGTGTACAAAGTACATTGTTCTAATGATATACGAAAATATATTGTTTCACAAAGTATCAGCTACCATCGGAATCCAGTCATTTTCACTTTCATACAGAATGTCTATCTTTTTCATTTAAACTTTGACTTAATTCAACGGAGCAGAAATAGAATAGTCCTCTTTCTAATATGTATATAAACACATACAAAATTGTTGATATCAGAACAAACTGACATCTCTTCTCTAGTAGTTTTAAAACCCTGGCTTTTAATTATGTTTAACAATTTTTTCTAAAATAAACGTTTGTCATTACTATGAAGGTGACATATTATCTTGTTCATTCTCAAAGAGTATTATCGAAGCTAAGACCAACGTTTGGAGAGAACATAAGTAAAATAGATCAATAATACTAATAAGCCTTCAAAAGTTGAAATGTATGAATGATATTTGTTATTTCAAAAGTTCTAAATAGGAGTGAGTTATTATCGCCATAGTACATCTTTAAGATCTTTGGCTAAAATTGCTGTTGAATTCGGCTCATATATCACCTTCTTGTCAGTCGTATCAATTGTAGTTCTAATGAAATAAGCCAAACATACATTATAGACACTTGAAAAGATATTAAAGAAAAAAAAAAACCCATAATATTTAAATAAAAAGAAAATTGTACGTTTTCTTCCTCTTATTCTATCGACACAAAAACAATCACTATTATATATGTATATATTTCGAGGTTAGAAGGAACCATGTTCCCATATTGAAGACTACAAAAATGAAATCATTTTATTATCGTATAACTTACAAAAGAGAATTGGAAGCCAAATGAAAATATGTATATAAACTAGAAGTTTTGTTATCTTGGTGTTATTATCCAAGTTTCAATAATTAATTCAATAATGATAATAATCTTTTTTCCTTTGATTTTGAGTTCTCTGTATTTTCTTCTTTTTTTTTCTTTTTTTCTTTTTTGACAGCAAAAGTGATGTATATAATTTATATTATCGCTGTGTGAACTGCTTTTTTGATGAAATAAACTTTCGCCTTTTTTCATCGATAAAAGTAGATAAAAGTTTTCGTGTTTAGAACATGATAATAAATTCTCGTTATTTTCTATTCCTCCTTTTTTTAGTCTTCTATCATTTTGGTATGACACATGTACATCGATATTCGTAATAGAAAAAAAAAAATTTTTTTTTCGAAATAATGAAGAGAAAAATAAAGAAAGAACATTAGTTTTAATCATTTGACATTAATTGTCTTCGAACATGTTATACATATTTAGGAATGTATTTTTATTTTTTTACATTATTTTAACATTATTATATTTATATTGCGATATTTAATTTTTTCATTCATTTAATTCATTTCCAACATAAATAACAACGAAAGAGTGTGAGGTCAATTATGTATTTTTTTTAGACGGGGTCATATATATACTTTTTTTTAAACACTATTCATTTTGTATATATTCTCTACCCTTCAAGGTGTTATTACTATTAACAAGATAGATCAAGAGTATATATATATATATATAATAAATAACAAAAAAAGAAAAAATTGACTACATATGAGTAAATTTTCTCACATGTGTTTATTTAAACTTCAATACTATGTATGCACGTTCTTTTTATACTACAATGTTTCCTAGATAAATAGATCATTAAGTGTTGTTATATGTTAATCCAAAAATTATATCATTAATCAATTATGAAAATAGTAAAAAAGTAAAGAAGAATTTTTTATATGAATTATTAACGGAAGAATACAAATGTTTAATGAAAACTATCTTTAAACAAATTCGCTTATGTAGTGTTAGTTAAATCTTGATTCAACATAAAATGTTGTTATTGTTGTTATTTTTACTGATGTAAATTATATAACATCGATATTCTCTATAGTGAGTAATTAGAGAATTTGATCTTTCAGAGTAGATATATGGATGTGGGTTTTTGATAATAAAATATCCTAGTTTAATTACCATACCGGGGCTCTTTATATATATCTCAACCATAAGTATTCGATTTTTAACCATAGGACACTAATTTGGTATATGTGATAAACATGACGTCTTGCGTATCAGAAATAAGTGTACGGAGGTTTACGAATTTTTCGTTAACTGAATAAGACAAGGCATACATGATGGATTAAGTGTCGATTTAGTTTCTTCTACTCTCTTCTCTTTTTTTTCGATTTAACTTTTTGAGCCCATAAAAATCAAATTTATTATTGAAAATGAGAATATCTAAAAGTTGTCGTTTGTTCATTCCGTCGAAACACGCAACTAAACTTCTAGTAATATCATATCTACGTTACGTTTTTACAAATAAAAAAGTGACGTTTTGATAAAAATATTTTTATTATTTCTCTTTCTTTCTCTGTATGTGTGTGTATCTCGTGTTTTATTTTTAATATATAAAATCTTATTTTGACCTATTCTCTAATGCGCGACAATGAATAAAAAAACCTATTACTTTAGGCAAAGTTTTTTAAACTTTTATTTAAAAACTATTATTTCTATTTTTTATTATTCTAGCATTTTCATCAAAATCCAATTCACCATCATTAGAAGGTATTAATAATAATACGGACGAAGAACAACAATATAAAGAACGTTTACGAGAAAAATCTCGATCGATAAAACAAACGTTACTCGATAATCATAATTTATTAACATCTCAACACCCACCTCCATCAAATAACATGAATAAATTTTCAAATTATTATGTTCAAAGTAATGATGATCGAATTTTGTATGATAATACATCAAAAAATTCACAATCAAATAATAACTATTATCTTGTTCGTTCATTATCAAAAGATGCTTTAGATGATACAACAAATTCTTATGATTATAAAAACACTTATAATGATTATGATAATACAACATCCTATTCTCAATTATTATCACCATTATCAACAACCAGAAGCATTCCAGTCAGTCATTTTTCAACATCATTTTCGCCAAATGCTCATGTAACTATTACAGACTTTCCATCAGCATCACTAACAACGTCAGACATCGAACATTATCCTTCACAACAGAAACAAAGTAGTATATATATTAAACGTCCAAAATCAGCGTCAACAGTCACCGCTTATCGTCAACCGGTGATTGTTACTAGTCGTACAACATTACACACTGATAATAACAACGAAAAACAGTTAAAAGTTCATCAGAAAGATGATTGTTGTTCATCGTCATCGGATAAAACAATGACAATGAAACATTCAATATCCATGCCATCAAATAAGATGATGAATATATCAATTAATAATGAAAATCATGAAAATCATATTTCTCCAGGTGTTATTTCATCGAATTCAACGTCACTATCATTAGCTTCGCCAACAAATTCGACTATTGTCTATTATGCAAAAACAAGGAAACCATCACCACCACCACCACCTCCAATTACAACAACCACATCCACTTCATCAAATGACAATCATCATCAGTCATCAATCGAACGAGTACCAAGTGATTTTCAATTAAAAAGACAATTTTTTGAAAATCGTATTTATGCTGAATATAATACGACAACGGCAACAACAGCAACAACAAATTCAAACACAAATAATAATAACTGTAATAGTCTATTGTCACCAAGCAATAGTATATCGCCCGTATCATCATCTCTCTCATCGTCATCGTCACTATCAAATAAAAATTCTAGTCCGACAACAACGAATACAAATGGAACAACAAGAACTTTATTAGTAAACACAGGCCAGGTTTATGAAAATAATAATAACACATTCGTTAATGGTAACGGTACGCATTCCAATAAGAAAAAATTAGATAATCAAGCGTTAAACGATGCATCAAAGCAACTGTCAAATCAACGAAATGTATCAAGGTAAGAAATTTCATATAAAACTATGTTTATAGAAGAGAAATAAGTGGAAACAGTTTGTAAACCAACCTCTTTAAAATGAGCTCACTCACACTATTAACTAAAACTAACTTTGAGTCTGCTCAATCTACTATTTTTTTTACAATATCTAATTTACTCTTGTTGTACCAATGATGGTGTTTGTTTTTCTCACGAGAATAGTTTAACAACGAGTTATAAATTCGAGGACAGACTGTATTGTCTTTCTTTTTTGCTATTTACCATCTTAAATGGAAAAATATTGCGACATTTTATTTCTTATACACAAAACAGATAGATGAAGATATATTTGACAAAATTAATTATTTATTGTTGGATTATATCGTGAAAGGGTATTATTGATTCATTACAAAATGTCTTCATATATCTTTATCGCAAAAATTAAGCAGGTGCATACATATGTGTAATCATCAATAACCGTCTGTCTCTCTGCACGTTATAAAATTAACAGATCTCGATTATAGTAGAAACAAGTTTACCATTCTTATGATCTAATTATAATTACGTGATGTCGATTAGACATAAAAACTTAGATTTCTCACAATTTAATCATCTTACTGATGTGAAAGAGAAAATGCTCTAAATTTATTGTTGTTAAAAAGAGATATTGAGCATAGATAGAAAGATAGTAATGCAATAATTAATACCATTGCGGTAATAAAGACTATTGGTTGAGCGATATGTAGCCATGACGGATCTAAAGTCATGCGAATAGTATATATCAAATGTTCTAACAGTATTTTTCAATGTATAGTCGACATCAGCTAGTGATCAGCACGTAACTAATATAACTGCGTCAGGTTTATTGATCTATATTGTTGTCTATGCGGTGTTGTTGTCGATGTAGTAATATTTGTTATATTTGTAACATTTGTCGTACTCATACTTGTTGAAGGATAGGGTGTTGTTGTTGATACAGGTGGTAACGGATGAAATTTTAATAATACAAATAACATATACATAATTGATTGTACAATCCATACGCTAATAATAACAAACACAAACCAAATTTTACTTCCAATGAGAATACGTCTTTTAAAAAAATAGAGTATAAACAGAACAGTAAATGTACTTGCTATTAAGCTAATTATAATCATATAATAATAACTATCATGTTTAGCTTCGATTGCCGATGTTAATATACTACCGGCGCATATAAGCAATGCCAATAACGCATATAATTTACTGTAGCTAACCAAACGTGGGCTAACATCGAAATAAACCGGATCACTGGTCGAAGAATGCATCTGATGATTATTCTTTTCTCGTCACTTACGTGTGAAAAATAGATGATAGCAATTTTTGAAGCTTTTTCTTTTGTTTGAAATTTTCTTATCTATGAATCATTGTTCTATATAATTTTGTCCTTTTCCTCGAGTTTCAAACGAAACGAACAAATTCATATGAAGACGAAACAGATTTAACTGGAGTTATTTTTTGCAGGTTACTTATAATCATAACTTCATGACTAATAAAGGTTCAGGTCCGCTCCATTACTGAGATGCGAGATATTTTGTGTAAAACTTGCTCTTGTTGATTGCTCTGAAGGAAAGATTAAACTTTATTACTTAGGCAGCTGTAACTTTATATTTAAATTCTTGGCAACTTTTGGCACTGAAATTACTTCCATGGCGGAGAGCGTGCGAAAATTTTACGCTTTTTCCATTTTTAACCAAGTCGGGTTTCCGATTTTTTCACGATTTCTACCAATGAAAACGAAGCTCGCATCAATAGACATATAGCAACACGTCTCTATACTGTACTGGAACTACTTATGGTTATTTTACCCATAACGGTATGATTATAAGTAGCCTGCAAAAAAACTTTTTCGTCAACTCGTCTGCAAAATAACTCCAGCCAAATCTGTTTTGTCTTGATATGTTCATCATTTAGGTTTTCAGTTTTGAAATATTGTTGAAAACACAACATTGCAGTGTTATTGCAGAGACTTTTAAGTGACAAATTTTGAACTTTTCAAATGCTAGCAAGCATTTTAAAAAACAGAAGAGTATGATAATATTGATTTGTATAATGGAAAACGTTTTTGGTATAACTTGGTTCTAATCACATTTTTGAAAACAAAAAATCCTAAAAGTCCTTTGTACGCGCGTCCAATTAAGCTTTTAGGTGAAATTTTTTTTTCTATCGTCAAATGGAAGCTAACAGTTCTCGGTTCAAAATGAGACGTCAAAAAAAAGTGTCGAAAAGTTGTTGGTTTTCATGTGATGTTTTTTGTTTTCATCTTAGTATGCATTTTTTTGGAAAGTTTTTTAATTGACGATGTTTTTATTACATATTTTCAGCTGACACTCTTTTTTCACTTTGCGCTTTACTGGACGCTTTTTGTTTGCCGTGAAGATGTTCTCGAGTTTTTCATGACTTTGAAACAAATCATTTAGTAATCAGTATTCCGTATGGTATACATTTCCAAATAAAACTAATAGTATTTTTAGTACAAAAGAGCGATGTTGTCAAAATGAGAACTGGTGTTTTAATAGCTTTCAAAAATGTTATTAGAATAAGTTATACCAAAAAACGTTTTCCATTATACAAATCAACAATATCAAACTTTTCTATATTTTAAGCTTGCTGGCACTTGAACGGTTTAAAATTTGTTACTTAAAAGCCTTTGCAATAGTATTCAGACTAGCAGGTCCTGTGGAAAAACTGCACAGGATGACTTAAACGTTTCAAGTTTTTAAGTAATACATTTTAATGACCATTTTGAACTCCGAAATGCCGAAGTAGCCTTTGTTGAACTGTGAACAATCCAGTAGCAAAATATAATAATTTATTGAAAATGATAAATTAGACACTTAAAGTACCTAGTAATGAAAATAATCTGTTTAACTATTTCCTTCCTTATAATGATCCCCAAAATTTTCTAGAATATCCGTGAAAGGCTACATTAACTGTGTCGCCCTGTATCCAATCAATTACATTCATACCGATTATGGTATCCTCTATCCATTTGGTTACTGCCATTTTTATTGTGGGCTTATATTGTCTGTTGAATACCGATTGTCTTAGGATTATATATTCCATGTATGACACATCTTAGGCTATATACATCGTTCAAACTTCTGTATCACACTATTTTTCTGCCAAATAAAAATATGTGATATCTGGTATTTTTGAAGACAGTGAAAAGTCCATTGGACTCCGATATGATCGAGATGACTAATAATTTTTGTATTTTTAACGTATACATTCATTTCGTTTACTTCATTTGCATATCAAAAATTTAATTCGTAACTTCTGCTTAGTATAAAAATTAAACCACGAAGATAGGTAATTAGAGAAATAGAGGAGAATTTGAGATTTCTGTAAGAATTCACTTTTGAATATTGTTTGTTTATATATTTAGACGTTCATGGAATGATTTATCCTCCCAACAACAATCAGTACGCTCAACTGTTCAACAATCCGACAATAAAATTATCGATGCATTTAGTAATAATGACGAATCTCCAAACACAATGAATTTAAATGGTGATGCTCTCTCATTCGGAACAACTCCTCCTTTACCGCCACCTGTTCTTCGAAAGCCAATTCGAATTGTTAAAACTGTGAATAGTACAACAACAACAACTACTACTAGTAGTAGTAATAATAATAATAAGAATTGGAATACTGATTTGTTAACAACTTCTATGATTAGCGATTCAAAACTACAACACCAACAAAATGGTAACCAAAATTTAAATTTACTTAAAACAACAACGACTAGTCGACCATTAGCCGTATCGAAAACATATTCATTGGCTAAAACGGGTTTATTTTCTGCCACGCCGTTTAATACATCATCAATGACATCAAAATTAAATGAAAATTATCATAAAACTACAAATGGTATGCCAGAAACTACCAACGCTAATAACATCAACGATGATACACCGAAATTAAATGTCGATATGAAACAACAACATGGAAAAAATGACAACAAAGAAATTCTATCGTCATCATCAAATCATGTGCATACACCATTGAGACGTTATAAATCACGCGAAGAATATGAATTTGAAACAAATCTAAAAGCATATGCCAGTCGTCATCCAAATAATAAACAATTATATAACTTAGCTCTATCACCAACTGATCATCGATTAAGCACAGATTATACACGAAATTTATTTCCTATGCCAGACAGAATGAGGCGATTAAGATCGAGATTCAACTCAGGAGAAAGGTAAAAATAATCTTCAAACGAATAAAAATTGAAATATAATTGTAAATATTTATTTGTAAATATTTAGATTGGACAGCATTAGTATTCAGTCTTATTCACCTGATTATTTACAACGAACAGTATTTAGTGACAGTATCGATTCAAGTAATATTCAAGCAGTAAGTGTTTAGTTTATTTTTTTCAGTAGTTTATTGCGTTTATCTATGTTTTTTAGGAAGAACTTATCCTCAGTTTACAACGTCGATTACAAACTTTAAAAGAGAATCGACGTGAAATAACAAATGAAACGGAAGAAAATATACTATTAGGCAATAGGGTAAAAATAATAAATAAAAAGAGAGCTTGTAACCTTGAAAAATTGGATATTACTGTCGAAAAACTTTGTTTTAGTTAATTGGTATTGTTGAAAAGTCGGCACAAGCGAGTGAAGTAGAAAAATTCAAATTACATATTAATGAAATCGATACAATAACAAATCTTTTATTGAAACTAAGTAGTCGTTTAGCTAAAGTCGAGAATGATATTCAATGTTTACAAGAAAATATAGACGAAAGAACTAAGGTAATATTTTATAGAAACGTCCACTATTCGCCTTCTACTCAAAGAAAATTTAATAAATTCTTAAAAACATTAATTCTATTTAGAATTGTTTAATTGAACGTCGAGATGAAATGCAATTGAAATATGATGAAGCAAGAACATTAAAGGATGGCATTGATCGTCGAAGTCGTCTAGTATGCGATATATTACGAAAATATTTAAATGATGAACAATATGCTGATTATGATTATTATATTAAAATGAAATCAACTTTACACATGGATCTGAAAGATATTGAAGAACAAATACAATTAATTGAAAAACAAATACAATTACTAAATTTATCACTAACAATTAAAACAAGTCCACTAACTCCTTCATTAGTTTTTGAAGGTGTTAGTGATAGTTTGACATCATCAACTTCTCCACCAACGACTACTAACATGTTACCAACATATTTTAAAACAATTTCAACATCAGCTTAGCAATAATTGCGCATCTATTCACTATTTTTTGTATAGAATTTTTATTTTGGTTTTTGATTATTTCAACATCGTACACAAATACACATGAGTTCAGAACAAACTCTATAGCTAGTGATATTTATTCGTTGTTTTAAAAAGATTTTTGTGTATCTGTTGTCTCTAGTTTCTTTTACATATCTATTTTTTTTACAAGAATTTTAACGATATATGTGTTTAGAAAAAAGCGTATGTTTGTTTTGTCTGAGCTGTCAATCTTTGTTCATGTTACCTCTACATTTTCTTGTTTTGACCGGTCGTTTCTTTAGAATTAAAAAAATTGTAACCGAAACACACAGGTCCGAATCAGTGTTAACCCCTGTCAATAAAGAAATATACGTTCGTTTCATACTTTCAATCATCCTCTGCTACGAGAGAAAGAAAACATACAATTTGCAGTAATATCGTCAACATTTTTTTAATTTACTTTGGATCAACGTTCATCTAAACTTTCTAGAAAGAGGTGACAGATTGTTTTTGATTTTGAAGAAGTTCGGAAATATTTGCTTCACAGAGATAAATCAGAAAGACGTAATTTACTGATTAACTCGCTAGCAGAACCAGTGGACTTCTTGTAAATTAACCTCATTGCTAACTTACATATCTTGTTGATTAGAAATATACTACCCGCTGTCGTAGACGATACTTGCGTGATCCAGTTTGCGGAATATGCATGGCCGATAATAGCTAAACGAAATGAACTGGATGCATTTCTAAACGCGCGAAACAAAGCTCCTAAACAGCGCCTGCACCCAAGAACCAATTGGTCGAATGTTCCTCCCTTGTCAGATCATAAGAGAGTCGTACTCTGAGTAGAACAACGGACAATTCACGTTTTAGAATGTTACCACTGAGAAAAAGTAAGATGTTGTTAGTCATGCTTGGGCTTCTGTTCATGAAGTAAATTCAGCAATACTTAGAATAATTCAGAACATTAGATTCGTGTCACAGCAGTTATTGATTTTATTAATAAATGATTGACAGACCGATGCAGGAATAAGAATGCTAAGGGCGGACAAAAGGTTACAATCATCCGCAAACATAATGAGAAAATAAAGATAGAAGGAAAGTCACGCCTGGTTTATAAATATTAAAAAGAGCAAAGGTCCTAAGATGGATCCTTGTGGGATATCCGATGGAAGCATCATGTTAGGCGAACCTATTCTAACCAGTTGTTTTCTACTAGTTAAATAACTCTTAAACTACTTGAAAGGTGTTCTCTTCCACTCTCAACGCCAAGAGTTTTGACAGAAGTATCTGAAAGAGGACCATGTCAAACGCTTTCTCGAAGTCAAACGTGACCACGGTGGAATCGGTCCCATTTTCTGAGTTTTTGTAAATGTGATGTGTGAGAAAAAGCTAAGTACAATCGGAAATTAGAAATTCTTAGACTACAAAGGTTTTCAACTCTATTTTTAATGCTCAAATAGAAATCAGAAAAGTGCACATGATTCAACTATCCTTTTTTCCAGTTGAAGAAATTTTGTTATTAAACTTTTCTTGATCATTCGATAACATTTCAACTAAATTATTTTGTAAATAATCATCCTAATATTTATAAATTAATAAAACAACAGCAAACGTAGATTATTGAATTAAAATATATATTATTTTGTCAGGATAGAAAAAGGAAGGTAGATGATGGAAATAAATAATTGTCACAATTGTAAGAACAATTTTTGAAAAATTTAAATTTAAATAAATATAGTGCATAGTGATTTCCAAACTTGATCAAAATTCAATTTCAAATTTTGTTGTTTTTCTGTTTTTCACACAATATTTGTACATATACCTAAAGACTCTTTTCATTTTTTTATTCAGAATGTGAGAACTGGTAACAATAATGTTTTTCAACATTCGCCCAGTACAGGGAGTGTACATTCAAATTCGTCAACAACAAGTTCATCTGATACTCAAAGAACAGAATATTTTCAATTATCGAAAAAAGGTGTGTATTGTTGTTGTTTTTTAATGTCTTGACCATTTCAGAGAAAATTATAATGTGAATATATTTTATTTTGTTTATCTTAGTATTTGATAATTTAAATAATTTATACAAGAGACTATCATTACTAGCTGTTGAACAAAATTCAAGAGTAAGTTTTTATTGTCTCTTAAGATTAGGTAACTTAAAGATTTTTTTCGTTTTATTTATGCTAGAGTCCAAATGGTTTACATTCAACATCGTCAACAATATTTCGTCATAGTTCAGTATTTTATGATGCTCCAGAAGCGTTTGATAATCTATTATTATCAGATAAAGAAGAATGTGATAAAATGGTAAGCGTATATCCTCAACAATTGCTTAGTTTAGTTATAAGATCAAACAAAAATAAGAAATATCTAATTTTCTATTATTTTTTTGTAGTCTGAATCAGAATCATCGAGTGATGATGAAAGTTAAGCTGGAAGTTTGGATTTATCTCGTCGACGTCTAACACAGTCTACACTTCAGCCCGTCAGTATGTATTGATCACTCTTTCTTAAACTTGAAGATAAATTATAAAATGATCTATTATTTCTTTTAAGAACCGCCTCAAATCAAATGGCGACGTTCTTCATTACCTGCTGTAGCTCCTGATTCATCCAATATCAAACTATGGGATATCATGAGAAAAGCCATAGGAAAAGATTTATCTCGTGTTGCTATGCCTGTTATATTAAATGAACCATTAGGTTTATTACAGAAATTATGCGAAGAACTGGAATATACTGATTTATTAGATAAAGCATCACAAACAGATGATAAATATCAGCGAATGGTTTATGTGACAGCATTTATCATTTCAACCTATTCGGCTAATTATTATCGAACAGGACGAAAAAATTTTAATCCATTGTTAGGTGAAACATATGAATGTATTCGAGAAGATAAAGGATGGAAATTTATTGCCGAACAAGTATGTACTGAGTAACGGGTAGGCCATAAAGAATGTCGATCCCAGTATTTCGTTAATATTTTGCTCAGTTTTCATTGTCAGGCTTTAACTTTTTTTTTAAAATAATCGTCGTTTCATTCTCTACAAAAAAAACATATTGAACATTTTTTCATATACCGCAGAAATAAAGGAAGATAGGTGAAATACTGCGAAGCTCCAATTTCCATTACTTTCTAACCTCCAAAACAGTTTTTCAATTGTAGCTCGTTGTATTTTGCGATACAGAATAAGAGAAGATGATCATTTTGTAGCCCTTGAACAGCTCTACCAATTGGCTATGTTTAAAAGTCTTCATAATCGCAAGTCGTTGCTGGAGAAATTTTTACTTATACCGATTTTATCAAAAATCGCCGTTTGAATATATTGGAAATTTTCTTTTTTTTTGGTAGACTGTAGTAAAATTGCGTTTTATATCAGGGAAACATGTTCAAAGACAACCTCTAATAAGACAACAAGAAAGACGACACTTCTTGGCATCAGCACATACGTTTTGATTCTAGCTTGTTGCATAGCTTCATGTTCAAAATAAATATCTTTTCGTTATGTTTTGGGTTAGAAAGTAATGAAAATTGAAGCTTCGCAGTATTTCACCTATCGTCCTTTATTTCTGCGGTATATAAAAAAATGTTCAATATGGTTTTTTTTTGTAGAGAATGAAACGATGAATCTTTTTAAAAAAAGTTAAAGCCTTGGCAATGAAAACTGAGCGAAATATTAACAAAATACTGAGATCGACATTCTTTATGGTCCACCCGTTAGATAGACAGTTGTTTAGAGTTAACTGATTTGACTTTGTTTTTAAATAGGTTAGTCATCATCCTCCAATATCCGTTTATTATTGTGAATCGCCAAATTTTACTCTATTACAAAGTCAGTTTTTAGTTCAATTTGAAACTTACTTTTTATTAATTCTTTTCATTATTTAGAACTTCAAGCAAAAGTAAAGTTTTGGGGAAAATCAATGGAAATTTTACCAGACTCTCTAAATATTTTAACATCTCCAAAGTATGTTTCTGTTTATTCTCTCTTCTTTTCTGTTATTCTTTTTTCTTGTTTTAGATATAATGAAACAATCGTCTGGAATAAAGTGACAATGTGTATTCATAATTTGTTGTCAAATGATCGCTGGTATAGTACTGTGACCAAGTGACTAGTATACTGGACGTTCTAGTGCAACTTTTTACCTTAAGACACTACAAGACGTTAAGAGTAGAAAAAACAGGATATTAAACACTTTTTGACCTCTCTGGAATTTCTTGGCTCAAAATTTTTTATCAGAAGGGCAAAAACATCTTTCATCTTTCCGATTATCCGTTCAATATATAGTGGTCTCGGATGTTTTTTAATTAATTTTTGATAGAAATGAGCTAAAGAATTGCATTTTTTGCTAATTGATAGAGGGCTAGACATTTCTTATGAGAAAACTAGTTTGAAAATCTTTCTAAGACAGGACTTTGAAACGATCTTCAGAAATCCCGCTTGAATTTTCACAACTTGAAACAGCAATATACTTGTCTTTTTATCTAAGACTATAGTTCTTACAGAGTTTTCTGAAAAACAGGATAGGTCGATGTTTTTTGTCCTTTGAATCACAAAGTTATGTAAAACAGTTATATATTGCTATTTTAAGTTTTGAAAATTTGAGCAATTTATTCACATATTGTTTCAAAATCTTATTTTAGAAAAAGATTTTCATAATCTATTTTTAATGGACGAGAAGTCTTTGGATCTAATAGTTGGTATTTGTAACAGAATTCTTATATATTACTTACTCATTAATTCTCAGTTAAACTAACTGGCAATTTGATTTTCTTTTAAGATCGATCAATATGGGGTAAGTAAATGGTTTGTTATGCGATAATTTATTTGTCAGACGCATGATATCACTACTACGCATATTTTAATCAAACCGTTGTGTAAAGGGATTTCAATAATGTGTGTGAATATTCTAGGATTTACTGGTTGAAAATTCGAATGGGACAACAGCACGAATTAGTTTTATGCAGGTAATAAAATACTTTTTATACCTTGGAAAAAATGACCATGATTATCAGCTCTATCTAATGTATGGTAGTAAATAATTTTATAGATACAAACTGTTTATTGTTTTTCATTCACACTACGGACATAGTTCTATTTATTGTTTGTTGTAGAGTCAGTACCGTACACGTTTAAACAATGTTGCCGGTGATATTGAGAATGAACAGGGTGAAATTGTACATAAATTATTTGGACATTGGCATAATGATGTATTCTGTGGAAATGATCAAACAGCAAAATGTATATGGAAACAAAGTAATTCTTATATTTTTACTATAGTTAATTTATAGAGATAAAAAATATTTATTTGTTTTCTATAGGTGCTGTACTTGAAAATTCGAAACAATATTATGGTTTTACTCGTTTTGCTATTGAATTAAATGAATTAGATGACGATTTAAAAGAACAATTACCACCAACAGATTCAAGATTTAGACCAGATCAACGGTAAGCATATATATTTTTATACGAATTATTTTAAAACTAATTTTTCTGAGAAAAAATTGAATTATAATCTATACATAAAAATTGACACAACATTTTTTTTTTGCGAATGACAGTTATGGTAATTTGTCCATCATTGTTCGTTTCAGATTACTGGAACTGGGTGATACTGAAGCAGCTGAAAAAGAAAAAGCACGTATTGAAGACGCTCAACGTCAACGTACACGTGAACGCCCTGAAGAGTATCGACCGATATGGTTTGATGTGAATCATGATCAACAATCTTATAAACCAAAAAATAATTTCTATTGGACTAACGTGATGAATAGTTTGCGTGATAAATAACGTGATGAATAAACGTGATGAAAAGTTTGCGGGCATTGATTTTATGAAATTATGGTGATGTTTTAAATAAATAACAATCAACGATCTTATTGTTATTTTTTATTATTACAATGTGTGTTTAATTTTAAAAAAATTATTATTTTTCTCTTATAATTCTCGTGTGCACCTCCTTTTTCTATTTAGTTGTATCAAAATTTGTGCAATGACTTTTCCTTCTTTTCTTTTGACTATTGCTTTTTAAAATCCGATTAATTTACTATTGTTGCTTTTGTTCTCGAACAAAGCAAACGTAGTCTCTATATTAATGACAACTATAGGTGTACGTTTGCTGGTAAGAAAAACATAATAATAATTGACAAATTAATGCAGGATCTGAAAATAAGTATGTAGAAATGTAAAAGAGATTAAATGAGTTCCTACTTCTCAACATTTTCAGCTATGAATCTTATTATAATTCTATTTTTTTATAGATTCGATAAAAGTATCGTTTTTGTTTTTTTACACACTCATTTCTAGCATTTAGACATGTGCAAAAACCATTATTTGTAATATTATAAAATGCAACATTCTTTATATACATGAAAACTGGTTATCCATATCTGTTTACAGATGTTCCACTTAGCATCAATATTTCTTTCTCTTTTAGCGTTATCTCTCTTTTCACAGTCTAATTTTTCTGTTTTCTTATACTCATTATTTTTCTTTTCTTTTTTGTTTTTCTTTTCACTGATGTATATTTTTACCTGCGATAGTCTCTCACCACACCGGTTTATCTCGTTTTTCTAATAATCTGCGCGCAGATACTTAATCATCCTTCTATAATTTAGCTTCACTTTTGTTGCTTTACTATCTCGTTTAATTATTATTATTATTTTTTGTTTTATTATGTGATCTGAAAGACTATATCTAAAAATAACGTTCAGAAAAGTAAAATATAATATTTAACAAAACTTCTACATCCATTTTTACCTCGTCATCACTTTTATTTTATTTTTATTCTGTTAGACACAAAATTAAAAAAAAATTGCTGGTAATTAAGTTTCTCCTGTAATCGATTTTGCTTACCTTATACTATTAAATTTTCTAGTTAATTATTTTCCTTTTGTGTTTTTGATCGTTTGTATCGTGCAAGTAAAGAAGATAAATATACAAAACACTTCTTCTAATCAAATTTTATTTTACACTTCTATTAAACTAATGGTTTATTTTTTTTTAATCATCAGTCTTGGTTTAATGACATCTACAGTTATCATTAAAAAAAAAAGCCAAAAATCTTGTTTTCAATTTAATATTCATTTGTTCGTCAATATTTAAAATGGTCTACATCTAATTTCTCTTATTTATCAGCATTATTATTTGATACACAAAAACAAGAAGCAACAATACCAGTTGACAAAGATACAGCCGTCTAATGTCTAATTTTTGATAAAATACAAATAAATATGTTTTAAACTATTTACTGAAATAGTGAAGAAAAGTTTAATGCCTATATATTGTACGTTTACAGTTATATAAATTTAAGAAACTGATAATTACACAAGACAGATGCATGATATCAATGATTTTTTTATTGAAGTGTTTTTCTTCGTATTTAGGTAAACATATTCATGAGTGAATAAAACATGCTGAGTAAAAATAAACGTAACAATTTCAAACAAAACTATATTTTCATTGTATTTGGAATGTGGTCAAGTTAAACAAGGTAAATAAGCCTTTATAAAGCATGTTATGATCTGATACATGCAAATATAATGCACGATCATCAAATTAACTAAAAAAATTTTAGAATATAATAATAGAATAGTAAAAATGTTAAAATTATAGAAAGATAGTTTGTTTGTTTTTATAATCATTTTTATGCTTGTACCAAAATTAGAATACAACAAGGATTAGAAAAAGGTAAAATGGTAAAATGCAGCAATATCATTTAAAAAGCTTGATGATTTGCAACCATTTCTGTCATTTTATTTTCAAGCAAAACTGTTACTACTAATGTTGTCACAAGTAAAATAGATGATTTATTACTCTATTATGTGTTAAAAGTAGTTGATCGAATGTTTTTCTACTCATTCTTAGTTTATGTTTTATTTTAGCAATTTTTTCCTGTGTAAAATTGATACTGACCAGACTTCGACTGAATAAGTAGGTAATTTCGCATGCTTCAATTGACCCGTTAGTTTCTGTTTTAACTTCAAATATAATAATGCATGATACAGGCAGTCGTTTTATTACAGTATGTGCGCTCAATGATCAAAGAGGGAGTAAGAAATATAAGCAAGAGATATAAACAGAAAAACTGATTGATCTAAGAGGGCCTCCTTTTAGAGATCTGCACGAGTACGAGAATTCTCGTGGTCGCGGGCATGGACGGTCACGGGCAGACTTGAAAAAGACACGGGTGGACATGACGGGCAACTGCTCTCTTGAATGGGCAGAGATTTTATGAAAAAATCCACGGACGGGCAAATCTCTATTTCTGATACATAAGTGAAGGTAAATAAGAAGGATAGTACTCCGTCACTAAGTAGCTTGCATAATCTGTTGAAAAACAATTTCACTTTGGAAATTCAAAACTCCCAAACTTTTTCCACGGATGCCCGTCATTCTTCACCTCAGCGATAACTTGAAAGAGGAAAACAAATATTCAATTCATTCACTAAAGAAGAGAAAAATGTGATCAATGTTACCCTAATGATTGATACATTGACACTAACCGAACAATTTAATGAAACTTAATAATTAATTGACGAATTGAAATAAGTTGAGCAAGTCAACACATTTCTAGTAAGAGATTTTCGTTTAAATTAGTCATTTTTTACCATGAAACAGAGTTTCGGAAATTATAAAAACTGTTTCTCACCCAAAACCCTAGGCGACCGAAAGTACGGAAATCAGATAAGAATTTTATAGAATCTTATATGCTCCAGTCAGGAGAAATGCATACTGTAATTATAAGGTTCTTATAATTCGCAATATAAGAATTGAATAAAATTTCGGTAAGTTTTTAGTTTTTTACTTTTCTTATGAGATTCTTATAGCTTTATAGTACCTTATAAAAAATGTTCAGAAATTTCAAAGTTCAAAATTTTGCTCTCGTCCTCTAGGCAATTTGTTTTTTGTTTTTATTTTTGACTATAAGAATTGTATAAATTTCTATAGGAATCTTATAAGCACAGTATGCATTTCTATCGACTGTAACATAAGATTCTTATAAGATTACTATAAGATTCTTATCTGACTCTATAAGATTGCTATAGAAATCCTATATAAGATTTGATCTTCAGGGAAGGTGCTAGCAAATCTTATGTTCTGTCTAATTTTTAATCAGACTTGACTTGGAGAAAAATAATTTCGAGGGATGACTTCGCTTAACAATTTTTTTAGTGACTTGACTTGTGAATTGTCCAGCTGTGGAAATAATCTATTTTCATATGCATCGACGTGATCCACGGCTGGTCGTTAACAAAACTGCAAACAACCAAGAAATTTATGATAGCATCGAACAACTAAATGATACTAGTAACGGAAATAAATATTTAGCGTCCATTCTCCTCACAAGTAGGCAAGTGGATAGCAAAAGAGAGAAAATGAAATCTATCAAGAGTTAGATAGATGGGTTGCATGTAAGAAAATTTTTCTTGAACTCTCAAATATTCTGAAGAGATTTTAATAGAATTGACTAAGTATGTTGTCATTGCGAGCATATTTGAACGATAAAGTATTTAGGAATGATTGCTCTTTCTATAATTGAAAGAAGATAGTTATTTGCATGATGAACAATGTATAACACGTAAAACTGGTGATAGAAAAAGATTATTATTAAAGCAACTGGCACTAGTTTATAATCTGATAGAAACACTGCTGGGAGAATTACTTCGTATAATGAACGCCGTACTTATTATCAATCTAATATTCAAACTAATATAAAATGTGGTAAAACTGTTGTGAGAACTATTGTTCATATGATGTACATTGATTTTTCTTCTTCTCAAATACATTTGATATTTTCTGTTTTGAATAAAATTCGACAATTTTTTTGTTTTGGAAAAACTCCGAATGTTTACTTGATTTGAATAGAACAAATTGGGCTACTGATATATCAGTGGACAGCGTGCAATGTGTTAAGATAATGAAATGAATTCAAATGAATCTTCAATGGAGTGTAATTTACAAGGACAAACCACATTCGCATGGTTTTCAGTAGTAAGTTCCACAGACACGCAGCTGAGAAAAGCCCATTATTCCGAATACCCTACACTGTTTTGTTAATACTCATCAATATCGAGCTTTTTTTTCTGCTAGGCCCGTCCAGCTCCATGGCTATTCAAAATTTCGGATTATTTGTGGCTATTAATCATAGGAATTGTTATTGTTTATATGGGTTTAGTAAGTGCGTGTACATTCTTCACAGCAGGATTATATTATAAAGAAAATAATTATGCTCAAAGGCAAGGGTGGTTAAATGATACTAGAACGATAATGCCCCACGTTTTGAACGATTTAGTGTTAGCGTCATACTTTATAGATGCCGCTAATCACTACTGACATCACTCATCTTCTCTCATTTGCTTTCATTCATTCATTTATGCTCTTTTTTTCATTCGTTTCTCATTTTTGTCGTCGTGCGTAC